GAAAGCCTGGACTCGAAGGCGTAGGCGCGGTCCTTCCGCGACCTACTGTAGTCTTCGCACCTGGGGATCTTAATCCCAAGGGTTTCCAGGGAGTGGCAGTCAGGAAGGGGCTTGAAGCCCAAGCCCTGCCGTCCCGAGCAATCCAAGGCGCGGCCGCCAAGGATGAGCCCATGCCAATCCGAGGTTCCTTTCGCGGCTATTTTACAGCGCACGAATATCTCTGGACCCTCGCTGCAGTTGTCGGGGGAGAGCCCCTCCAGAAAGCGGACTCTCAGCACGACGGCCCCCTTCAGGGGCACCGGCTTCCCTGCAGCGATCCCATGGACGAACTCCGGATGCACCCAGCGTTCGAACTTCACGACAGGAAACCTCCGGTCCTCCGTGCCGATCCCCAAGGCAGCAGCCCGGTTGAGGATCCCACAGAGGAGTTCCTCCGTGATGTGGTTCGAGCCTGCACACCCGTCCAGCATGCATTCCACCATGCCGTCGATGACCTGCACGACTGTTCTGTACTGGTACCCCCCGACCTCGTTCTCGCAGAGGTGCCACCAGTCCTGAGGCAGCTCGTCCAACGAGCTGAACTTCGACGACGAGCTCTTGGCAAGCGGGAAAGCGGAGGAGTTCGCCGCAACAACCGTGCCAGCGCTCCCAATCTGGATGGAGAGCGTAGCGAAGGGATTCACCATCCCGGCGCCACTCGGGGCCGCCCAGTTCGAAGGCAACGCGGCTCCCCCAGTGGCGGGAAGCGAATGGACCATGTCACAGTCCGCTCCCTTACGGCACGACCCGTTCTTCTTGAAGAAAGGGCAGATAGTCCCTGGCGGCTTCGCGCCCGCCTTGGACTTCGCCTTGGGCTTGGCCTTGGCCTTGCCTTTGGGCTGCCCTCCGGGTCCACCCTTGCCCTTGCCCTTGCCCTTCCCCGGCGTTGTCGCCAGGGTGGACGCGTCCCGCTCCTTCTTGGCCGCGAGGGCCTTTTTGCGGAGCTCCTTGTCGTGCGAGTAAGGGCACGCGTCCCCTTTTGGGCAGTTCCCGTGGTCGCGGAAATGGAAACAGATAGGCTTACCTTTTCCATTTCCTTTCGGACCAGCGGCAAGCGTGGAAGAGGCGGCCGCCTTGGCCGCGGCCTTAGAAGCCTTGAGCTCCGTCCTCAGCTTCTCGACCTCCTTCCGCGCGGCGGACAGGGCTGGGTCTTCCGTCGAACCTGCGTACACGCTATTAGCCGTCACCCGATGCGCAGCCTCACGCTGCTCATATTCGAGGACGACCTTATGCGCTTCTTCCCAGGTCGAAGGGCCTCGAAGCCCTGCGGATGCGCCGTCGCTAGGCCACAACCGCTTATCACCGCGGATCTCCTTCTGGAGATGTGGAGGCATCTTGCGCAAGTAGCTTAGGAAGAGCTCCCTCGCTGTCTTGCCAAGACCCACACTCTCCAGCTCCGCGATGGAGGCCTCAAACAGGGGCTCGAACTGGTGCCCTGTGAGACGGCCCTTAGTGAGGGCGACGTGCTCCGCGTCCACCCTCATCTCCTTCTCTTCTCGGCTCTCGCCGAAGACAAGGTGCCGCTGCTTGATCCTTTCGTAAACGGCTTGGGGATTCTCAGTAACTTCCCCGGTCTTGGAGGCAGCCTTGTACACGTTAGTAAAGGTCTTAAGCCTCGAGCCGCGGCAGCGAGCACGAAGGGCGATGAGTTTCTCCCGGAAATTCATCCCCTTGCAGTTGTTGGCAAGGCCACAGACGTCCTCGAACTCTTCGTAGAACTGGACCACGTCCCGGATGTCGGAGCGATCGTCGGTGAGCGAGGGCCATTGGAGGTCCGTCTTCACGGTCGTGATCGACGTCTGACCTCCGCGAGACGCCAAGGCCTCCTTGAGCGCCTCGGTCTGGGCCGCCAAAGCTGCAGCGAGCTCTCCGGCTCCGCCGCTGGCGGAGTGAGGCTCGCCGGGCTTATCCTTCTTAAGCCCTTCGAGCTCTATCTCCAGAGCCGCAAGGCGGGACTTCAGGGGTGAGTCCCCCGGACCAGGTTGCGGATCCTCAGGGATCGCGAGCTGAAGGTCCACCGGGAGAGGCGCCGGTGCTCCGGACTTAGAGCCCGACTCCGCAACGGCGCCCGTCCGGGCCGCCAGGGCCGGGACAGAAGAAGGAGTGCTCCAAACCTTCTCGGGATCGCCGCTGCTCTTGCCTCCCAGGGCCAAGATCAGCTCGCCGAGGCACGAGATCTCCTTCTCGACCTCCTCTCGGTCTTCCGACCCAAGAGAAACCGCGGCAACGGTAAACCTGGTGCGCAGGGCCCGCACCATCCTGGCAGGGTGCCAGTCACCTCCCATTTTGCCGTATTCCTCGGCAAGGATGGTGGCCTTGGTAGTGATCTTCTCAAGATCCTCCACCGTGACCTCTGCCTGGTGCGCCTTCAAGGCCACAACCAGCCTTGAAACCCGCGTCAGGTAATCCGCGACCGGTTCCTGGTCGGGACGGTAGAGCTCCCGCAGGTCCGCCTGCAGGGTCTCCGCCGTGACGGGACCACCCGTCCCAGCAGACGAGGGAGGCCCGGAACGGGCCGGGCCGCCGGCCACCGGCGAGAGAGCAAGCGCACCAACACGGCGCGCCGTCTCGGCCACGTCCGCCGGCGCAGCGGCAGGACGCGGAGCCGGTACCCCGGCCTCCGGCAGAAGCTCTTCAGAGCTGGGGCCCGGATCGCCATCCTGAGCACCCGGGCCCGCTTCCGCAGCTGGAGCTTCCTCATCTTCCTCTTCATCTTCTTCCTCTTCCTCTTCGGCATCGAAGTTGTCGTAGAGGAATTCCATCGTCTCCTTCCACAGACGCTGTTCATCTGCTAGCGTCGTGGATCGTCCGTCCTTCTTCTTGGTGGGACGGGACCCCGTTTCCTTACGCCAACGGAGCCAGTACATAAAGGGCATCTTCTCCGGGTACTCCACTGACCCATCCTCGATGCACCTCAGCAACGTGGCTCCTTCCGGCTGACCTGCGACCTCAGCGCTCATGGTCGCCTAGCGAAGGAGAGAGCCCCGTGCCACACAGGACCACGGCCTCAAGGCGCACGACAAGCGCGCCTTCGAGGCCACGTTAAAAGATTGCGGCGCAGCAGCCGCCTGGGTGGCCGTTTCCCAGAACAGCCCCCAATTGTGGAGAACGGAAACCCAAAGGGGCAGCACGCACCCTCGTTTTCCGTCCAAGCAGAAAGTCCAACGACCGTGACAGGTCGAACGTCCGCCCAGGACGGGCTGCGCGCAATTGCGTCGCGGCAACGAGAAGCTACCAACGACACACTGCCGTGCTCACTTGAGCCAAAAATGTTATGAATACGAATTACAGAAGAGCATGCATAAAAGCATACAGCACAACAGCCAGCCCGCAGACTATGTACAGTTACATTGAAAAGCTTATTTAATTAAGTAGGAGTGTACTGTATAAATGCCATGATAACTGTTAAGAGTAATATGGTGAAGACTCGTGGTTTAGTAGGAGTAGTAATCGTAGCACGAATATTTGTAGTAGTAGTAGTCGTCGTCGTAAGTTGCAGTAGGTAGTAGCAAGTAGTAGTAGCTGGAGCATATTCAACGACAAGAAACAGAGCCACGAAACTTGAATTTGTTCTGTAATTTGCGTACCGTGTTATGATGCACAGAAACAATAGGCAAAGAATCGATACAGAATCTATATGTATTTGCAGTTGTTGTTATCGGCTTCTAGCTGCAAAAACATAGAGACACACATGAGCAATTACATGACTTCGCAGCTGCCAGTGCAAAAACTCTGTTTTCTTATGAGAGATGCAGCCAGCGGCCTGTTGTCGGAAGCTCCGGGCTGAACACACACAGCCACGCGAGCTGTCAGCTCTTTCGGCTAACAGCTGTTTGTAAAGAGATCCCACCGGAAAACATCTTCACAGGGCGGGAGGGTGGGTCCGCAAAGAACTTGAGCATATTCCAAGCGGCATTCGAGCTTAGTCAGAAACCTGCAGAGCAGAAGTATGACTTCGCAGCTGCCAGTGCAAAAACTCTGTTTTCTTATGAGAGATGCAGCCAGCGGCCTGTTGTCGGAAGCTCCGGGCTGAACACACACAGCCACGCGAGCTGTCAGCTCTTTCGGCTAACAGCTGTTTGTAAAGAGATCCCAAAGTCTGTCAGAATGACGTACTGGAAAGGAAGACACACCGAAAAGAAACCGAAAAGATTAGATGAAACCAGAGAGAGCGGCAATGCGGCGATGGATGCTGTTGAGGGCAGAGTCAATCAGCACCTGCGCCCACTCGCGAGCCCACGGCAGCGGGTAAGCCTCAGCAACTTTGGTCCAGCAAACGCCCTGAGGTGACCTGCCAGCAAGGTGCACGTGAGGCCGGCCAGATCGTGAGCAGAGCTTGACACCAGAGCACCTTTTGCAAGGCGCTTCGGAAGAACTCCACCAACCAACGACTTTAGTTGACTTTCGCCAAGGAGCCCCGTACTGGCAGTAATCCGAGACGAACTCTTGACAGCAAACGAGCTGGCGTAGTCGCACCAAGGCTGGGGCAGAGAACATTCTGCTGCTGTGAGGGTTCTCGAGAAAGCAAGGGACCTGAGCAGCAATGCAGGCTCGAACAATGCGCAACGAGAACTCCAAAGTGTAGTTTCCGCGTTGAACGGCCAGCAATTGTTTTCCCGTCAGTCCAGGGACACCATATACATGCTTCGACGTGCGCACCTGAGGGCGAGAGCATGCCACTGACCAAGTTGTGCAGGGGGTACCGAGCCAGATGCCCAGCACAGCGCCACCTGCAATCCAGCCTTTGAGGGTACTGAGTACAGCTGGCAAACGAACATCCTCAAGTGGCCCTGCACGGCTGTCGAGAGTGACTACACCAAATCCTTGTTTTCGAAGGCAACGCGAGAGAACACCATGACCTGCAAAGATTTCGACAAAAACTTGCCGGCGATGCTGTAAAGCCGACTTGCAAGCGAGGCGAAACTTGGACCGTAGGTGAGATCGCACTTGCTCAGCAGAGACTACACACTGGGCAGCGGCTTGAAGCGGAGACTCAGCTGCTGAACTGCAGGGCGCGAAGGTCCTTTCAGAGCTTGCTCCATCAATCCAGCGCTGCGGACCAGCTCTTGTTCCACAAAGGCTCCGTAAATCTGGACCGGGATGGGGATCTTGTGTACTTGCTGCTGGGCCACAGTGGCCTTCTCGTACCTCTTCACGCTTGAGTCCGCCAGCCACCTCCCCCTTCGTTTGATCTCCGCCAGCGGGACGCCCTCCAAACGAAGGCCACTTGCTGCTCCATGACGGTTGCCGTACAGGGTGGCGTTGAGCCCCTGCAACGACAGGACTTCCATGGCCTGCTTGAACTCGTCCGCTAGCTGACTGCACGTGAAGGGGAAGAGGAAGTGGCTTTGCTGCCGCCGCAGAAGAAGAGCTGCCAGACTCGGTAGAAGGTGATTGATTCTCGGGCTCAGCAAAATGCTCTCGTCGAATGCATTCGTCTTGCTTGGCTCGCTTGACCCTCCATCGGATGGGGCGAGAATGACGCCCCAACTGCGCATGGCTGCCAAATCCGCGGGCCTCACAATCTGCTGAGGGCGCAGGCCCACCAGTTCCCCGGGACGAAGGAGAAGATCCCACTGAAGTAGCAGAGCCAACGCCATCTCGACAAGGCTTCTGGCGAGGAACACCCCCACCACGGCTGCGAAGGCCACACGGGGTGTAGGCAGTCTCATCTTCGGGGGCGCGAGGTTGCGAAAGCCCTCCAGCGCTTGGATTGTCCTGGGTAAGTGTTCTCGAGCCATGCTTTCCGTAGTCTGGAAACCGGTAACGAAAACTTGCGAAAACGTACTCCGCGGCGCTTACATCCGCCTCCTGGGCGAAGAGCTCGTTGATGTACGCCGTCAGTAAACGATCCCAGTCCTGAGACAAGTGGAAGTAGGCGAGGCACCACTGCAAGAAGGCGTTCACGGTCGTGTTGTACCGATCTTGTGTGGCTGTTCTCCTTACCTTGTGCAGCTCGAGGTGGGAAGGAGTACCCGCGAGAGTAGCCGCCGTGCCCTGATTGGGCGGGCCCGTCAGGCGGCGCTTCTCTCCCCGCAGTTTTGCAGGCGCGTGGGCCGGCACTGTGAGCTGGAGGGTCCTTGACTCCCAAGCCATGAAGCTCGTGGCTAGAACAGGCTAGGTCAGCTCGAGCATCTAGCCAAGGGTGTCGCGACGGTCTATCAGCGCAATTCCTTTCTGAGGGAATCCAACGAACATGAAATTTGCAGTTGCCGGCCAAGGAGAGGGCAGCGAGCTGGCGGCACGTGGAGTTCGCCAGCATAGAACCGCCTCTCCCTTTACAGCAGGCTAAGGCGAGTGAAAGGTTGTCAACTAGAAGCAAATAGCGTTGCCCAGCGCACCTGCGAGTCCTCAGAAGATGCCGAACTCCACTGAGCATGGCACGCCCCTCGGTGCGGAGGATGTTCTCACTGTAAGTCCATGCGCCCCTAAAAAGCACATGCCACTTCGAAGGATCCAGAATCGAGGGACACACCTCCTTGAACTCAGCTTGCACAACTCGAGCACACTCGTCATGTAGTGAACCTTCGTGCGAGCCCCCAGGATCAAGTCCAAGTGCACTCGCGCGGGCCTTGACAGCACCTTCGACTGCATACCTCCACTTTTCGCTGGTCCTGGCAGTGGCGGTCACGAGCTTGCTACAAACTTCCCGCGCACAAACACCATAGCCAACTTCGCTGCTGTCAGTCGCAAGCACTGTTGTACTCCAAGGGAGATCAAAGGGAGTGCTCATCAGTGGAAGCAGCGAGGAGGCCTGTCTGATCTCTTTGCGAGCCGCTGCCCACATCCGCGAGGAAGGCCTTTCGCACCGCATATACCGGTACACTTCACTGAACACAGAAAGCGTCTCCCTCCGGATCATCATGGCAAACGTGAAGTGGCCGACAATCTTTTCTATGACCTTGGGCTCTGGCGGCTTGCATCGATTGCAAAGTGCGAGGGAGGCCAAACGAAGTTTCCAGATCCTGGCCGTCGAAAGGGAAACACATTTCTGCTCCCCGTCGATAACCAAGCCCAGGCCCTGGACGACCGTCTGTGCCTCGCTCACCTCGTGTATCTCGAAACCCCAGCCCTCCAGCGTGTCCTTCAAGCGATCAAAGGCCACTTGCACATTCTCAGCGCTTGTACCACTGCAGAAGAAGTTATCGACATACTGCGCGTGCACAATACGATCCCCGCTCACCTTCCCCGTCCATGTGCGGTCCTCAACCCGGTCCTCTTCGGCAAGTCCGGCCTGGGCCGCAGCCGATTCAAGAAGGGATTGACAAAAGTACAAGGACCAGTTCCAGCCCATAGGCAAAGTGGCGTACTCTGGCGTCACAAAGTCCTCGGGTCCACAACCTTGCGGCCACATATCTTTATCCAAGAACCGACACTTAATGGCAGGGAGGCGAAAATACTGACGCAGATGAGGAGGCAACTCCATCCGAGCAGTGTAAAGGGTATCGTCAGGCGCAACCTCGATGCTTGTCCAAGCGGCTGGGGTGGGCAGGTGCGAGGCCCGGGGTTTCCGAAAGTACGTATTGGCCTTGCGAGTGTCCAAAATCAGCCGTAATTTACCACTCTTCTTAAGCACGAAAAAGACACCAACAGTGTGTTCACGACGACCTGGGATCAGTTGGAGCATCCGACATTTAAAAAGCCGGGCAAGAAATCTGCCCATATGTACAGGAGAATTGGCTAACACTGGATCGATGTATGGCTTCACGCACTCACTGTTGCCCACAGCTTCCGCATCGGCAATGAGCTCTGAGGCGCCTTCCAGAGTCAACAACTTTTTGGAATCCTCCCCCAGGAGTGACGCCACCTTCACAGGATGGCTCCCCAGGGCAGGCCATGAGACAAGAGCCTCGTCGAAACTGGCACGAGTTGTGCACTCAACATCCAGGGTTCCATACCCTGCCATTGAGCCGAGAAGCGCCGTAAGGGCTTCCTCGGGACGAGAAGTTGGAGTACCCATGCGCCTGTACCGCTGCTCCAGATTGGAAAGCGCCGCGGCATGGGACCCCACTGGAGCTGGGCCTTTTACCCCTTCGGGTTTCCCGTACAAGTCGTTCAGAGTCTGCACACCTTCGTGTGCCCAGGCGTCAGCTTCCATTCTCCGGCGAATTCGTTGTCTCGTGCCGCGACCCAGCCTAGGCTGTTCGAATCCACCCGCAACCTCAGGGAGGCGTAAAGGCAGAAGATCACGTTGTATCACAACCTCAGGCATGGCACGGCAATCAAAACTGAGCCTGCAAGAAGCAGGCAGTAAACAAAAAGGGTAGGCCCAGAGGGAAAAACCACGCGGTGACCAGAGCCAGGAAGTCACCGGTGGGCACAACCGCCCCGAAAGGCGGCTGCTTACTTGCCCTTGTTGGCGGCTCGGAGCAGGGCCCTTTCCTCACGGGCCTTTCGCTGCTCCTTGTTCGCCTGGGATTCCTTGTGCAACTCTTCGCCGAGCCAAGTGTTCAAAGCCGGGCAAATGCAGAGATTTCCGCGGGTGGGGTCGACACCGAGAAAGAAGTGGCTCTCGTCGTCGACCGTGCCATTGGAAACCGCCCCCACGATGCGTTCACGCCAACGGTACTGAATCATCTGCAACCTGCGGCATAGCAACTCAATCGAAGCCAGCTCGCCGATGTTCAGCTGATCATACTCCAAAGCGAGCTCGAGAGCCTTGCATAGGCTCTCGTGCTCCAACACGCCGTTGTCCGATCCCTGCAACTTGCAATTAACCTTCCACGTGTTATGCATCACCAAGGGGCTCCCGCCGTTGGTCACGAAGTACTGCCCGACCCACTTGGCCGTGCGAGGCCCTTTTATGGGCCAGTCACTCCAACCACTCTCCGAGGCAAGCTCAACCCCTTCTCTCAATTCCCGCCTCCGCTTGCCGTCAGTGCCATATCGAACGGCCAAGGTTCTCGCATCATCAGCCTGATTCATGGCAATGGCGCCCGGCGGCGCTGCAGCAGGAGCAATGGCGAGGGCTTCGGGAGTGAAGGGCTTCGCATACCCAGCAATTTCGTGGTTGCCGATCAGCTCCACAAAGAGGATGGCCCCGTCACTGAGGCCTACGACCCCCTTTGTACCAGCTTGGTAGCCACCTACGACTTGAGCAATCGGCACAAGGCTGCCCCGAGCCCGGTGACCCTCCGAAGCCGCCACCACCCAGGTAAACCCGGCAGTGGGCGCCAAGACAGGTCCAGCGGCCGCGGGAGCAGTGTTCGCAACCTGCGCAGCGGTGGCGCCCCCAGCTGCAGGAGCAGCCACGACAGCCATGCCAATCTGGTCGATGTCATTCTGCAGGGAAACCAGCTCGGCCTGCGCAAGCCCGCGAAGATGGGCAATCTCCGGTCCTCCAAGTTCCTGTCCAATGCTGCCATCCTCAAAGCGATACACATTACGTCGCAGCACTCCAGGGGGCAGAGACCGATCATCAGGAAGAACTGCTACGGCACGCACGTTAGGAATAGCCAAAGGCTCGCCATACACATCACCGTCTGGTGTCGCGACGACGCACCATCCAATGGACCTGGGGTCGCTGCTCGGCGTCGGCCTCAGAATCACGAACCTCTCGTGCCACTTCCGTTCCCCTTGATATTGGACTAGGCGGTACTTGTTCTCTACGGCGAATGCAGGAAGCACGGTGTTGTCGATATAAGATTCCATGGTAAATCGCGAGTCCAGTCAACAATCCCACGCAGAAACAGCCAGCGAGAGGAAGCCGACTAGGTGATCCAGCGGTGCACTCACAATCACAATGGCAGTGTTGCTCGCCAGTAGGCACCACCACAGTGCGCTCAGAGCTGAACCAATTATTAATCAAGAGGCAGCCGGCGAGGAGGAGTCCAGACGGGTGAAAGGACTCGGGGACCATGGAGAACTACTTCCTTTCCGCAAAGAACTTGAGCATATTCCAAGCGGCATTCGAGCTTAGTCAGAAACCTGCAGAGCAGAAGTATGGTCGAGGTTGGTCCTGGTTTGGGGGTTACCATCTTAATGGCAGCAGTAGGTGTAGTCGTAGTGGTAGCAGCAGCACCTGCTGCGGACGGGTGAAAACTGCATGAATCTACTGGTATTTAGGGAGGGGGGGTAGCATATATGTATACGACAGCAGTCGCACGAGGTCTGACATCGTTGGTAGACTGTCTAAGCCGTTAAGGCACAGCAAAGAGTAAAACAAAAATCTTTAAGAGAGGGTAGCGTATATGTATTTATATATACCTAACATACATGCACGCATACATGCACTGCATTGCATCACATCACATTACATTACATCATAGTGGGGTCAGCTTCACAGCCCAAAAGGATCCAAGTACCCATATAGTAGGCTCTTAGTAGATGTTTGGACCCCCAAAGTCATACTATACTGTCACCTTGGATAGTTTCCTACATTTGCAATGGGGTCCTTATCTCGCTATCTTCATAAGCCTCAATGGGGTCTAGACTAGTGGTTTCGGGTTTAACGTTTCGAGATTTAGGGTTTGACGTTAGCAGCTTTAGTTTCGGTCTCTGGGCTTATCTGCCGCTGCTGTCGTTTGCTTTTCTTGGGGAGGGTGGGGGGGGGGGTAGAGGTTCAGGGTTCACCTTAACCCGGAATAACGTACGTTTTAAGGACTTATACAAAGAAACCATAATAAGGAAGCCTAAAATCGTAGGCTATTCAGGGTTCAGGGTTTACCTGTTAGGAGATGTAAGGTTCAAACAGGGGTACTTGGAGGGTCGGGGGGCTTAGTAACTGGTTGTCTCAGGAACTTATTATAAGCACCATAACCCCAATTAGGGTCCCTGTTAGGGTACGCATAAGACTACTTACTACCTACTTACTAAGTCCCCCGACCCTCCAAGTATACACAGAGACATCAACACAGGAATCCTCAAGTCGAAACGCGAAGCCGAGGACCATCTTATCTTGGGTTAGTAGGGAATGGAGGAATGGGGTACAATTATAACTACTCCTACTACCATTCTTCCATTCCCTACTAACCAAAGGTAAGCCATACATGCACTGAAACTTGAAGCCTTAAGTCGTAAACCCCGGCAAAGCAAATTCCTAAATCGAAGTCCTGCTCCTAGTGGATAGATGTTTTTGTGGTCAGCTTGTGCAAGAAAGCAGAACCGCACCAAATTCCTTATCCGAGCTTCATGGCCAACCTGTATGCTTAGGTTTAGGGTTTCGGCGGCCTCCCCCAACCATCCGAACAGAGAGAGTCGCGGCAGAAGACAGTCGCAATCGAAGAGCAAACAGGTTCCCGCTGCATGACGCGGAACCACCCTCTGGCTCCTTTGGACTCCCAAAGGCCCAAGGGACCCGGTCCATAAGGTCCCCAATATGAGGGGCCTCACTAGCTCGACTCGGATAGTGGGGGTTCTTATACTACAGCACAGGCGACAAGGATTCTGCGGGGTAGTATCGCGCATTGTTCAAGCCCCCAAATTATTTCCTACATATGTGGTTGACGACTGTATCCTAGCTGAAAAGGCTAACCTTCTAGCTTCGTTGGTGATGTGTGTGTGTGTGTGAGAGAGTTGTCCCTGTGACTGTGAGTGTACCCTAAGTTGACGAACATGGTTACGTCCTCTGAGCTCGACAAAGCCAAAATACTGGGGTACACTGTAAAGTAGAATAGGCTTTGGGGATATAGTATGCAACCGTCTGGCTACTAGCTACAAAAAGTAGACCTCAGGAACAGTATTAGTATTGATTTGGTCCATTACAAAGGTCCACATTTTCAAGTTCCCGACAGAACGAGGAGTTTCGTAGCCAATTTCCTACATGCATTAAGAAATACTAATGATAAGAGTGACACTAACAACACGCATAATAACACTACAGTAACAATAAGAATATAGTTTGCCCTAATAGCACGCAGTTTGGGGGTGGAGCCAGAGGTGAAATGCTGCAGCCTATCGCCACATCCTCTGCTGACACCGCGTGTGCGAAGGGACGGTCGGTCAGCACCTCCAGGCAGGAATCCGAAAATCAGGTTTTGGGGTTTAGGGCCACGGGCCTGAAAAACCTCCGAATCCCTAAACCCTAAAACACTCCGAACCCGAAAAGTGTCAAACCTCAAAGCCTACGTGTTTAGGGATTGGTGCTGCAGGGCTTGGGCTTCTGACAGATTGGAATTCTGGAAGCTGGGATGTAGTAAGCCGAGGCTCTTAGAACTCAAACATTTTGTATGTATACCAAAATATCTACATATACATGTATATATATATATATACACATGTATAGAGACGAAGAGAAAGGGAGGGAAAAGGAGAAACCCACATTTTAGTTTATATAAACATATACGAGTCTACTTACATGTAGATGCCGCATATATGGCTACGCAAACATAATCTAGATATGTATGTATACAGGCATTACTTCGTCTTCTCCTCATTGTAACTGACTGTACTATTAATAGCTTTTGTTACGGCTATTACAGCTGCCATCAGTAGAAACATACACATTTGAGCATTATACATACCTACATGTATGCATGCATGCATACACACATACATGTACGAACAGACATACATACGGACGCAAGCACATACCGAGCTACATACGTACAGACAGACAGACACAGACACAGACACAGACAGACAGACAGACAAATGGAAAAGCATCAGCATCTCACATATTGTGTTACGCTTTCTTGCATCGTGTTATATGTTGTGATATTGTAAACTATGCCTTCATGTTGTGTTATACTAAATCACTTCTTTATCTATTTGCGATAGTATGTCATGGCACGTAGCAACCTGTGACAGTATCAAATCTACATGGTAGAATGTAGACGATATTGTAACACTCCATATTATGTTACAGTATAAAAACCAGTTTTATGCTACATTCTTATGTTGTGCTGTATTGTGTACTGTTGCAGTGTGGTACAGTAAGTCATTGCATACAGCTTGAATTTCATTGTGCAATACAATGCCGTACTATACTGTACTACACTCTACCTCAGTCGATGCTTATGCTTTAGTATGATGCATTGCATGAATATTACGTTATGCTATATTCCATTATGCTGTATGTTGATATGGTTTACTAGGTTCTGTCCGCTGATTTTTCAATACTGTATATGGTCACACATGCATTCAGATTGATGACATGTAGATTGTAGATTGTAGCTGTATGCAACACATGCTATAGGAACTCCTTGGTGCGCGAAGTACATGTACAGCTTTGACTGCTTCGACCCTGTGCTACATGTGGGTCTACAGTGCGAACGGTTTAGGGCTTAGAGTGCAGTCGTGGATATTGAGGTTCTACTACTCCTACTACTACTACTACTACTACTACTACTACTGCTGCTGCTACGACTGCGCTACTACTACTACTACTACTACTACTACTACTACTACTACTACTACTACTACTACTACTACTACTACTAGTGGTAGTAGTAGTAGTAGTAGTAGTAGTAGTAGTAGTAGTAGTAGTAGTAGTAGCAGTAGTAGCAGTAGTAGCAGTAGTAGTAGTAGTAGTAGTGGTACCACAACCACTACTACTACAAATGGCATGGGTAATCATTCAGGTCCCGATATTAGGCCTCGGCAAAACCAGCTTGAAGAAGTTCACATACGAACAGTCACCATCTGCTCTCCAGAATCCTGTTGGCAGTGGACGAAAAGTAAACTCTGGCAGCGGTTTAGGGTTTCAGAAATTCAACCAACACTGGCTGTGCACAGAAAAGAAAACCCTAAGGGTCCATGTACCCATATAGAGATACATGGTCCCCGAAGTACCCAAATAGGGACTACATCAAGGTCTATGTATATACTATATGAGTACATGAAGCTAGACTGGTACATCACATCTCCGGTTTAGGGTTTAAGCCTGGCTTCGGGCGTATAGGGTTTTGAGGTTAAGCTCTGGGAGGAGTGGCGTATGGTTCAAGGATCTTCTGACGAGTCTCATGGGCTTCGGAGTTGTAAGGGTGACGGAATAATTAGAATAGGATCCCCTTTCTAAAGGGGTCTATATGGGTTACTTAAACTTGAAATCCCGGCACAAGTGCAAGATAGTATGTGGAACACTGTTACTCATGATTAGATACCTACACCCTCAACCCGGGATCCCCGGATCATCAGATACCCACCCATTATAGTTGAAGCCTGAAAGTTGGAACATCATTATCCTCATGCCCTTACGGTAAAGTATAAGGGATCCTATCACTAATCCTCCTAAAGCCATGTTCCAACTTTCTGGCTTCTACTGTAGGACAGATTTGGCGGATCTAGCGGTTTAGGCATCTGGGCTTTAGGTATTAACGGTTCAGGGTTCCCGTGCTTGGCTTTTTAGGGGGGCTTAGAAGGATGCATGTGCATCTCCTCGGCTGCCCTCGTCCCGAACCCTTGCCCTAGGCTCAAGATATCCACTTTGGGCATAGGGGCCGTAAATAATTACTGAGCCATCCGCGTCTTTGAAGCCCTTCTTCTATGAACGCCTTACTAGAACCCCTAAGCCTTCTGTCGGGACCTTTGTTAGGAATGGGGGAATGGAGCCCTATGATAGTCCCTCATTAAGGCCTGCTATAGTGGTCCCATGAACCCATTCCCCCCTAAACCCTAAACTTCCCTACTAAGAACCAGACAGTTGTGACCCGATCTCCAACACCAATATGGGGGTTTCCGAACATAGGTCATTATTATAAGGACCCCTAAAT